TCATCCAAAAATATGTACCATTTAGTGGGTGTTACAGGCATTGTGAGTAACTATTTACATACCTGGCATAGCTCTGGATGAGTATTTGAAGACAAGTAGAGTTGGTTTAAGTAATGGAATTTTCACCCAGCAGTTGATCTTTCTGGGACGTTTTTCATTTCAGCCTTTCAAGAGAAGAAACATTTCTAAAAAAATCAGAAATGCCAAGTTGTGATTTTCCCTATTTTTGCATGCATGTTCAAATGAAAATGCCAGACCCTTCATTTCATTTTTGTTTTGAAATTGGCATATTTCAGATTTCTCGAATCAAGATGAAACGCTTCAGTTTGTCCCTTCAGTGTTGGTAATCAAGGTCCTTGGTAAATCGCTCTTCTGTAATTAATTGGCATTCTTATAAGAAAATGGAAGGTTAACGACAAAATTGTATTAAACCACGGTTATCATAAAACAGTATTGTTTAAGAGGCAGAGATGTTTCCAACCAAAACTAAACAAAGATGTGCGCTTGGTTCAACAAAAAGAAGATGGGCATTTTAATTAAAGGATATTGAAATGTTTCTTTCTGACAGCAATACTCTTCCTAATATTTTCCACTCCATGAATATTTTCTTGAGCTTTCAGTCTGAAACGTAATTAGAAGGAAAAAATAATACATTATTTTTCATGGTGAGGAAGCATTTATGGTGGCTTGAAAGACAGAGCGCTGAATGATGAGTTGTGTCAAATGAAAGAGGAGGACCAAGTGCTGTTCAGCCCATCAAGAACTGAGCTGAAAAGGGGCTGCAGGATCATGGAGCCTCAAAGCTTTTAGGTGATGGAGCACCTTCCTTAGAGCAGCCAGATCTGAGGGCAGGTGCTTCCCACATCTGTGCAGATGGCAGACAGTGTGCACTTGTGATCCTGCCAAATGGAAGGATGGGGTGAATTGCTGATAGGCAGTTCCTATCGTTTTGCTTTGGCTGACTGGCTTTGACTCCTATTTCTTGGATCCTTGATATTCTCAATGTAACGATCTGTCTTGCTTATCTTCATTTACATTCTATGGACGTATTTACTTTTAGGCACCTTTTATGCTCGAACAAAAAAAAAGAAAGAAAAAAAAAGAGAAAAAGATTGTAATTCATTTGACTTGCATCCCATGTCTACCTTAGGATGAGACAAATAATCTCTTATAATGCTGTTCTCTCCTTTACTAACAAGACAGTTTAAATGACCTACTCAAGTAGAGGCTCTACACCATGAAAGTTGTGTAGTCAAACAAATTCAATAAATGGGAGGTGAACTGCAGTGTTAATAAAGCAAAGCATTATTTATGATGAAAAAATTGTCTCAACTATCCTAACCAAGCAATGGACTTTAGATATGCTGTTATGTAAAATGGGAGAAATTCTGGCACCATTACTACTAATTCTCTGAAAATATCACTCTCGTTTTCTATGATAGCCAAAAAAAAGAAGGAATGCATTGGGAGTTGAGGTGATATGAGAACATCATAAAATCTCTGTAGGGTATTTGCAGAAATGTAGTCTTGTCTCACCAGGTTGCTCACCAAGTAACACAGTAGAACTCAAACACATTGGAAGACATGAACTAGAAAATTTCCCTTTCTTCTGGAGTCACCATCCTGGAAGTGTTCAGGAAATGTTTGGATGTGATGCTAAGGGACACGGTTTAGTGTGGAAATATTGGTGGTAGGTGGATGGTTGATCTTGGAGATCTCTACCAACACTGGAGATTCTGTGATTCTGTGAGTAGCTTTTGTGCGAGCACAGATTAATTCTTTTCTCTACAGTATTGGAAAGGGACAGCTTGGATGTGATAAAAGTGCAGAGATCCTTGATAAGGTTGGACAAGGAATAACATCATTTTTTTGCAGAGTCCAGATGTTTGACTGTCATGGAAATGATCACAGCTCGTATTTAAAGCAAACTGTGCTACTTCTTCATCCGCAGCATAAGTAGCTTCCAGTGCTGGGAGATGAGGAAGCTGGCAGTATGAAGAGGCTCACATAAATTTAGACAAGTGCTGGGAAGGTGCACGCTTCCCTTAAGCCCTCCCTGTGCTCCAGTTTTCTGTGCTGCCTTGGTGCTTGCTGCTGCTGGCTGGGTGCTGGGTTAGCCTGGCTTTGGCCTGGCTCTGTGCTTTTTACATTGCTGCTGATTTATTTCTTGCAAATGGAAATTCCAGACTTCAGCCAGCTCTGTCGGGCAGTTGCTCTAAATCACTGAAACTCGAAGTATTTTTATGGAAGGGGCACAGACAGCCAGGAAAGGCAGAGTTTTGCACTGCTTTGTAGATTTTGTTAATGAGTTTGTCATACTCTGCACGCTAATGATCAGCATTGGTAGAACTGATAACGAATGGCCAAAGAGGAGTGAGAATTCCTGAGGAAGTTGCTCAGAACGTGCTGTTGTTTCTGGTACAGGAAGGAATGCTGGTCACTAACAATTGTAATTGTAATTTTTGTTTTTTTTAAACAACCAGTGATGAAATAAAAAAACATTGGAGTTGTTATACGAGCTCCAGGAGCTGATCTTTGTGAACGTGAAAGATACTTACATCTCCATCTTAAGAGCTGCAAGATATTTTCCATGCAGCTGGGAAGGACTGAGCCAGAGCAGGCAGTGAGCTTACATGGATACCATCCCATCACATCTAGCCCTCTGCACCTTCTGAATGTGCTGATCAGTAAAAAAAGCTTTGGTATATTGGTATGTGGCTGTTTTTTATCTGCTCATCCGAAAGCCCTTAAATGTCTGCTTCTTACCAACCAGAAACGTTGCCCATTATCATTGCCATAATTTGCTTGGTCGATGTAATAACTTCATTGAATAAAATTCTCTTTACCAGAACCTACTAGAGCTAAGGAAATGCCTTAAATTCCCCTGTGGAAAAACAGTGTATTGCCATTTTCAAGCTACCTTCACGAAACTAAGTAGAGTCTCTGCTGAAGCACAGACCTGTGCTAAGCACAAATATGCTGACCACTACAGTCAGAGCAGTGTTTGCAGTCTGTTTCGTTGCCTCCTGCATGGATACTTTATCATTTGCTGATAGAAGATGGCAAATGCAGTGCTGCAGTCAGCACTGGTCACTTGGTTATCTTTTCACTTTTTTCTCTCAAGTGTTTGCGTGAGAATAAAGAAAACAAAGGCGCTATCTGTAAAGAAAAGAAAATGCAGTTGTGCAAGTTGAGAGGCATTCGAGTGCTTTATTAATATTGGCCACTAATAAACCTAAGAAAATATGCACCAATGCATATTTTCTTTTTTTGTGATTCCGTAGCTCTGTTAACTACCCTGCTGTAGCCTTTTCTCTTCCAGAAATACGTACAGACCCATTTCAAAATGATATGTGCTGTTCTCCATTTGTGAACTTAGCAAGTTTTGGTGTTGTCTCTTTTCTTTTTCCCTTTCTTTTTCGTGTTGTTCATTTTTTGGGTTGTTTTCTCTTTGTTTGCTTTGGGTTTTCTTTTCAGAGGCTGATGCCTTTTTATTTAACAGGATAATGATTTGATTGCTAGGCCTTGTGGCATCTAGTAATTCTGCTCTTAATTATTAGCAATTAATCTTATCTATACATGAACAAATCTTTTACTTACATACAATTTGCACACATACATGCTAATCTTTTACATGCATACAACTTTACATACAGTCCAAGCTATGTTCTCTGTTCTTGAGTGCTGAGTTGTCCTTCCTGTGATGCCATGGGCTGCAGTCCCTCTCTGGCTATGCAGAGCCTCTCTCTCCAGCATTTGCAGAACTACAGAGCCTTCCTAAATGTACGTTGCTCATCTTAAGAATCTAAATTTTAATTGCTCAGAGGATCTTGGAAGAGTTTTGCACAGTTGTCATTATTATGCCATGCAATGTGCTCAAACTCACGGTGTGCCAACTTGGCTTCGCTTCTGTAAGTATTTGGTTGTGAGTTGCATGCCAGTAATCTTCCTGCTTTGGTACATTGGCAAATTGTATATGTATGTAAGTATTTAAATACAGCAATTTTGTCTCCACTTTTCCTGTCTCTGTAGTACAGCATTTCCTTGTGAGTTGCACTGTTATATGTGCATATCTACACAATTTATTTATAGTATGGCAATACCTATGAATTTTAATAAAGATCAAAAGCCCTCTGTCAAACAGGGAGAAAGGCTGAGGCCCACAAAGTAAGGCTGTCTTTGCTCCGTTAGACACTTTTTTATTGAGAGAGGAATAAGATAAGCATCGTTGTAATGATATGAATGAGACATTTTCTTCTGTATCCTTGCCCAGCTCTATCATTGTGAAATAACCCAGATTCTGGTATGTTACTTTACACTCAGCCTCTTCCAATCACATAGGGCATAAAAAATAAAGCGATTCTGTGTTGGCACTGTGGGTGGAACAATAATCCTCTGCCCTCGATCCGTTTTCTTTAACAGACACCTTTTCCTGTCGCTGAGCCGATCTCTAATTTAGAGTTCCCTTAAATTGCACCTATTCCCATTTTAAAATCCATTCCCATTTAGTTTTGCTGGTGACGAAAGGCTGTCTGTGAAATCACCATTGGCTTGCCCAATGGCAAAAGCAATTCCAAGTTCACATAAAAGATCTAGTCGCATAGGTGTACTCTGTTCTTGCTGGAAATAGGTATTTTTTATGAACCTATTGAAAAAGAAACAGTTTCCCCCCACTTGAGAATGCCTGGAAGACCATCAACAAGGGGAAATTACGTGTGTGACCAGTTTTCATTCATTGCTTACTGTTGTGTAACATAAGTACATGTCATCGTGCATTTTACCACTTAGACTTTTGGTGTCGGAAAAAGATAAGCAGTTCTGTTTAAGGGAAAACAGCTATTAATTATGTTGCAGTGCAAAATACTAAGCAACTTGACCTCTCTGAAAAATACACATTGGACGTGTGACTGTTTGTGGCTTTACAATATGGAGGAAGCATGAGAGTAGATCTACCAAAGGACAGCAAGCAGGCGAGTTTGTTGGGATCCAGTCCTTGCTAGGGAAGACACCAGTCCTTGTTTCTCTGGGTAAGTGAACTTCTGTGGCTGCTGCTAGAGAGATTGCATGCAATTGATGATCACTAGGATCTTTCATGCATTTGGTGTTCTGTTGTGTGAATTGGACAGAGGTCTTTCAAGCTGAGCATTCACTGGACAAATATTGGCTTTATTTATGTGGAATCTTAATGAAGCACAGATTTCAGCTCCATCTGCTGAGAAGCAATAAGCTAAGGAATGTGCTTGATAGAATTTCCTATTTCTTCTTCAAAGAGACAAGAAGGGCAGTGTAGTAAGTAAGACAGCCTTAACAATGTTGGAAGGAGGGTGAGGGACTGTGATCTGAAGCTCAGAGGTGAATATGCAGTGGAATATATTGATAAATGAACTGTCACCTTGCAACACTTGGGAGAGGGACTAAGAGATAAAGCCAGACATGATGGTAGAATGGGATTTTGCAGACAAGCTAAAAGAGAGTAGGGTGAGACTAAACACAAACATGCACATGTGTCAAATAAGATCGGGAGATAAGGAAGATTTATATCTGCTAGATATGGAACGTATCCCAAGTGGCAACACAACCACTAAGGCAAGAAGGATTTAAATTAGGCTGGAAGAAGTTTGCTGCACTGAAGAAGAGAGAACAAAAGTTACTGATAGGAAAACAACAGCAACAAGAAACTGAATTCACCAAAAATGGAAGAACTGAGAAAACAAAGCAAATGTTCTGGGTCTGCACATTCATTCTGTCTGACATCTCACTGTGTAAGAGCCTGATATATTGGGAAAAAAATTAAGGAAAAGAACTGGAATATGCACAAATAATGAAGAGACATTTGACTCTTCACTCCCTGTTAAGAAAATTTGAGAAGCCTGTAAACAGCATGGGTCCATAAAACAGAAAGGTGGACACTCTGCAGAGAGGTGGGATGTTTGGTGTGGATATGCAACAGAAAGAGTTCTTATGGTAACAGGGGAAAAGTCAAAGAGAATTATTAGCTAAATTGAAAAAAACCACACCTTAGCACCATCAGAATAAAATCAGTTACTGGTGAGATGATGAGCTTTTTGCATTTGGTGTCACGCCATATGAGAAGTCATTTACTAATGTGATGACAGGAGATATTTGAGGAATGGTATGGATGATAACCAAAGGTACTCAGAAGAGACTTATCAACGTGGAGAAAGTTACTGATAAAATCCATCAGTGATCAGTCTGGAATTAAATTTCCTTCATATTCCTTCAGTGATGTTGGGAAAAGGGAGTGGTGTGCTATTGAAATGTAATGATCATTCAAGGCTGAGAGATGCTGGCAGTACAGAGAAGGAATCAGGTTCTGAAGAAAAGTTGGCTCAGCTTTGTGAATAGCAGAAGAGTTTATTTTAACTCCAGAAATTACACGGTCTTGCAAACAGGGGACTCTGCTGTTCTGTGGGGGTTCATCAGTTGTAAATGGGAGGATAAGGAGTTGAGGAGAGTCGTGGAGCGACTGGAGAATGACGTTGATCCAGTAATAAGAAGTAGCCTTGGATTTGCTCTTAGGCGGTTTCAGTGTAAATAGTTTGAGGAGGAGGAGGAGGAGTAAAAGGTTGTGCAAAGTATTTACATGTCCTCGCTGGAACACCATCCACCCATAGATGCTGGAAGAAGTGTAGGTGAAGGGAAGAGCAGGGGAATGAGAAATCTGTCTTATAAAAGAAAAAGTTTATCTGTTGTGGCCTGAAAAACAAGTTTTGAGACAGGACGTGGCTATCTTCTGCAATATGGGAGACAACTGGGGCTAAGGGAACAAGAAGGACTGAGAAGCATTATTTGATTCAAAGAACAGCATTAAGACAATGTGAAAAAGCATCCGTAACTTCATAAACCTAGTCAGATTACAAGCAGATTTCAGGTTCCTAAGCTACCCCTGTGAAAAATATGGGAAGCCAAGAAAGCCACCAAGGAATGTTATCTGTTAAAGAGTCTGAGATGGCCAGAGTTTATCAGACAGATACAGAGAACATCATTTTCCTTTCTTCCCCATGTCTGCAACTCTGCTTTATCCCAGCTGTAGTCCATACCACAGCTAATATACATTGCTCTGGCAAGTTTCTGAGATGTGCATTTAATAAGACTGTCTATTTAGGATTAAAAGTCCATCTAGCTTGTTACTCCATCTTTGAGAGTGGAAAGCTGTGGCTGGGAGACTATGTAAGACACGGGGTGAATAGAGGGCAGTAATTGTGCTGGTGTTTTCTCCATCTTTCTGATGGTAGGTAATTCAGAGACTTCCAAAGCTGGCAGTTGTATCCAGACTGTTTGTGTATTATCTCTTGATGAACCCATGCCCTATGAACACAGCTAAACTTTTTGGAACCCTTTGATTCTTTTGGCCTCCGTGGCACTCTGTGGCAACGAGTTCCCCAGTGTTGTGTGCCCTATGAAAGTGTTCTTCCTTTTTTTGTTCTTGAACTGCTTGCCTGGTAGTTGTACAGATCATTGCCTGGTTCACGTTATGAACAGCGCTGTGTAAATGGCCCTTCTTCATTTCCTAATCACTGAGAAATTGTTGGTCCTCTGTTGTACATCAGTTGTCTCCTTTCTTAGTAGAGTGGTCTGTGCAGTCACTTCTCGTAAGAAAGCCGCTCCATTTCTTGGCAGGGATTTCTTGCCTGCATTAGAAACAGCGTGGCCAGCAGGAGCAGGGAGGTGATCATCCCCCTGTACTCAGCACTGGTGAGGCCGCACCTCGAGTGCTGTGTTCAGTTTTGGGCCCCTCACTACAAGAAAGACATTGAGGCCCTGGAGCGTGTGCAGAGAGGGGCAACGAAATGGTGAGGGGTCTGGAGCACAAATATGAGGAGCGGCTGAGGGAGCTGGGATTGTTCAGTGTGGAGAAGAGGAGCTCAGGGCAGACCTCACTGCACTGTACAACTTCCTGAAGGGAGGCTGTGGTGCAAAAGGGTCTGGCCTCTTCTCCCAGGCAAATAGTAGGACCCGAGGAAATGGCCAGAAGTTGTACCAGAGGAGGTTTAGGTTGGACATGAGGAGAAACTTTTTCTCTCAAAGGGTGGTCAGGCACTGGAATGGCTGCACAGGGAGGTGGTGGAGTCGCCGTCCCTGGTGGTGTTCAAGAGGCGCCTGGATGAGGAGCTATGAGAGATGGTTTAGTGCTTGTGGCACTGATAGGAATGGGAGGGGGGTTGGACTGGATGATCTTGCAGGTCGTTTCCAACCTTGTGATTCTGTGATTCTTCTGGACCTCTGAACTTTCCTGTTCTGCTCTGTCTTTGTGCAGCCTGACCCGCCATGAGATCGACTCACCTATGCTGTCCTTGAAGTCCTCTTCTGCATTCTTCCAAAGTAACATTTTCTCCTAGAAAAAAAAGTACTGCCGAGAAAAGCAAGAGAGGGAAAATGTAAACTAGGGAAACCAAATGCTTAATTTCTCTTGAATCACTGATTTTATGACTTAATGTGGGAGCGTTTGTGCATTGCTTTTAGTTGGCTTGTCTGAGCAAGGACAGTCTCTTGTTAAAGCTGGCTATGGAATGTTCTTATTTCTATAGCAACTGTATTTCTCAGCTTGTAAACTAAAAATATATACTCAGTCTGCCCGTACTACTGGTGTATTTGTGAGCATGACTTATCTTTCCAAACTTTGGTATGCAATGACAGGATGGCCAAACCCAAGCCATAGGAGGCTCCTTTACACTCACCAAACAGGGAAAACACATTTCCCTGTATTTTCCTGTGCTCTACAAATGATCTGAGGTTCTGTAAGTTATTATCAGGACATACTAGTTTCTCCCCCTGTACTGAAATGTAAAGAAGAGTGGTTGGATGAAGACTGTGCATCCACCTTCAGGTATAAAAAATTGGCTGGTCCCTATCTAACAGGCATATTAGCTTTGTCATCTTCCCAGTCTTGTCCATTCCCTTTCCTTCAGGAAATCACAGCAGTTCAGAAATGAATGGTTTTGATTTTAGGGGCATAATGTGTGCTCCTAAATGCAAACTTGAGGGAATGGCCTATAGTTGTGCCAGAAGAGGTTCAGGTTGGATATTAGGAACAGTTTCTGCTCTGAAAAAGTGGCCAGGCACTGGAATGGGCTGCCCAGGGAGGTGGTGGGGTCACCCACATGGGAAGTGTTTCAGAAATGTTTAGATGTTGTACTGAAGGACGTGGTTTAGTGGGCAAATGCTGGTGGTAAGTGGATGGTTGGACTGGATGATCTTGGAGGTCTTTTCCAACCTTGGTGATTCTGTGATTCTATCTTTGAAAAAGTCTCCAAAGGGATGAAAGAAAGTCAGTGTGATTCTACTACAAAATAAGGCAGTAATAAAAACACACTCGTGTTTTTGCCAAATTGAAGCCAGTGCCCTCTTGTACTGCGCACTGTCCAGCTCCATTTGCTAAACATAAGCTCATTGTGGTCAAAAAGATCCTGGTTTAAAATCTTTGCTCGATGTGTTCATCTCAGAGGGACGTATTACCTTCAAGATGAAGATAATTTGCTTCAGAAAATGGAGCAGAGCGTTGAGTACTCTGATGGCTTAATTGCTTTTCACATCAGATCTGCCCCCTGAAACACAAGCACTTCCTATTCGGCGTTAATGCCCTGTATCAGCAGATCTGATGGCTCTTACCTGCATTTCTACCTGAGTACATCTGCATTTCAAGAACTTTGTGAAATTGCCAGGTAAGTGAAGAAGGTGACAAAGACAGAACGGATGCCACCTCCTTCATTTTATTTTTTTTCCTTAACAGAGGGGCTCTTCCCTTCTTTTTTAAACACTCGTTTATAGCCTTTGCAGTGTGCCAGTATTAAAAAAAAAAAAGAAAGAGGAACACTTACACAATAAACCCGTCGCCCATCCTGTCATTTTTCCACATCCCCATTGTAATTATTTGAAATCCTTGTGCTTGAAGAGGAGTTTTTCTCCCTCCCAGCCCAAATTCTATTTTGGGAGTAGACTTGTAATTGTGTGTTTGTTAATATAGCTGTCTGTTGCCATGAACAAAGTGAGGTCACCAGTTTTCAACTACAGCTTTGCCACAGAGTTAAGGGCTTTCAAACACTTCCTTAAATGTACCATTTTGTTTTTACTTTACATCATTTCATTTTGTTCTGCTCTTAAGGTGCTGTCAATCAAAATGATATCAAGGAAAAATATCATTAAAATAGCATATTTTGATGGGCTGGGAGTTGTACTGCTGTCACATCTGTCTGTGACTTCTCTGTTTAATACACAGCATTCAGATGTTCTCCTTTAGAGACTTGGCAAGGGTTTTCCTGGAACTATGTTGAGAATTAATGCATATGTACCATTTTAAGATGTTTTATTTACCTAACTCAGTGTTATTTTTTTTAAAGCTCATTGGTCGCATGTTATGTTGTATTGTAGCATCCAGAGCTCAAAATGTTTATATTTTGAATCTGTATTTATGCACTTTTAAAACTTGAGTAGAGTCCAGCATACCACTATAATTTAGTTTATCAGTGGTAAGGCTTATACTGCCTTTACAATACCCTCTGATTGTAACCGTGCTGCTTTCTCCCATCTACCCTAAATTCCTGAAGGTTTTTTTAATAGTTTGTATGTTCTGAATTAGATGAATGGATTGAAAATGTGAGGCAAATTTCTGATGAGTACGAATTGCCACAGTTACCTGGAGATCAGCAGGTTGTGCCACCCACCTTGCTGGTGATAGGAGGACGTTTGGATGGCCTTGGAGGTTCTTTTCCAACCTTGATGATTCTATGATTGTATGGTTTTAAACTGAGACAGGGGAGGTTTAGGTTGGATATGAGGAGGAAGTTTTTGAGCCAGAGGGTGGTGAGGCACTGGCACAGGTTGCCCAAGGAGGCTGTGGATGCCCCATCCCTGCAGGCATTCAAGGCCAGGCTGGATGTGGCTCTGGGCAGCCTGGGCTGCTGGTTGGTGACCTGCACACAGCAGGGGTTGGAGCAGATGAGCATCGTGCTCCTTTGCAACCCAGGCCATTCTGTGATTTGGTGATCTGTACATCTCCAGTACTTGAAACTCTAATGAATTGCATTACCTTCTAATAACTCCAAGCTGTCAGTTTCTACAAGGCTGAAGACAAGCACAGAAACATAAACAGGGCTATGGGGGAAATGAAATTAATAATACAGAATCACCTTTTTTTTGTTTTTTTTTTCTTGGAAAAACTATTTCAGATATTCCTACCCTAAAGCCACCAGCATTAAAAACAATGGAAATAAGCAGACGTTTAGCACCGTGTGTTTTTGGTTGATTTCTGTCACAGCAATATTTCCTCTCTTGCTGTAAAGCAGGCAGTGGTTCCAAAGACAGATTTGATTGCAACGAAAAAAAGGTTTAAGCCTTATTATGGAAGCACCTCGTTCCAATTTAATAAAAGGAAAGAAAATTTAAGAAGGGATATTTTTAAAAAAGCAGTACAACATTAATAGATGAGAGGGAGATGAGTTTTGCCATATCAGTTAGGTTCTTTGAGCATATAGAAATATGTCCACTCATTGGTCAAGACATTAGAAAAGCTGGAAAATGGAATTCTGGCACAGCTGAATGGAGAATTCAGCCATTGAAGGCATCTTTGCAAGAAGTGAAACACAGCAAAGGTTGAAACCAAGTCTTCATGGCCATTGAGAAGTGTGTTAATCTGTGTATGTTGAACTGATGTGAGCTCTAATGGAGTGATCTGAAATTCAGCAAATATCAGTGTCCACTTTTTGGTTATGAAAGATCTGGCTCAAGAACTGATGATTCCTATTGAAGATACTGCCTTAGTGTATTTGAACACATTTAATTTTAAGTATTTGTCCAGGAGATGTTCAAAATCAGCATTTTTATCTGTCTAATTGAGTGGTTTCAGACTGCAGTCCTATGAGTTGAGGCAAAGGCCACCATTGGGAGCCAGCAGTCAGCATTTTTCCACCTCACTCCAGTTACATCCACGTACTAATGCTGACTTAAAAGTCTCATGGCTTAAGTTTAAGTTTTTCTCTTTGAATGTAATTTAAAAATTAGAGATGGAAAATTCCACACAGGGACAACACAGAATGAGCAGCGCCCAATAGCCAGGATACCAGAATGAACAAACGCTTCCTCTTTTCTTGTCATCAGTGGATCTCTTCACAGCCTAGCAGAAAACAAAACACGCTGTTGTAGTTATCTGATGTCTTTACAATGCACGAAGATCACTTATGCTTTTGGTAAGCTGATGCCTTTTGTCAGAACAACAAATACACCTGCAGTGATGTTGGTAAGTCTTTGGGGGGAATGAATCATAATCTTGAAACGATTCAGAATGGATGTAAATCACCCAGCTATATGCCTGATGTTTGTTTCCTCATCAGCAGAGATGATTTGAAAGGCAGATGTGCTTCTCCTTAAAAACCTGAGATACACCTCTAATCTCCCATATTGTTTGTACCTACAGATGAAATTAGAACTTCCTCCTATTGTCCTTCTCTTGTGTCCCATCGTCCCTAACTGACGCATATTGTATAGTCTGCTCATTTCAAATGAGGCAACGGCATTTTCAAGATGAAACTGTTTCTCAAACTGAGAAATGGCTGAAATCCAAAGATTATTATCGCCCCATCCATTCCTCACAGTGTTGCATGGGAGAATTTTCTGTATCGTGGACACACTTTCTGAGGTCTTTGCTTTGATTCCCCACTAGCAGGAGAGATGATCGTGACACTTTTTTTTTTTTGTAATGAGGCTAACCTGTAAATTATCATGAAAATTAAAAATAAAATGAGAATTGACAGCTAAGACAAATTTGTCTTTAATCTTCTTTTCAAATTTCTTCACAGAGCATCTATAGCAATATTGAAGGGAAAATCCAAGCTAGCAACCAGATAAAATTAACTGTTGCTTTACAGCAAGCAATGCATTTTCTTTTTTTTTTTTAAATAATCATGCTAATTAGAAAGGACCGTGGATATTGATGTGCACAGGAGACTTTGCACGACAATCAAGAGGCGGAAGGCTGTATGTATGGAGAATAAACCAGTTTTAATTGATGACCATTCAGGCATTCTTTCTACTTTTATATCCCAAATAGGGATATGTGAAAGCAATTGAGATCAACAAAAGAAATAACTTTTTTATGAAGCACAGAATTAATATGTGTTGTTTTGTTTTTTTTTGCCATAACTGAGAATTTAGTAGACTGTTCTCCAGACCAGATTAGAAATTTATTTATGTATAGCATAATTTTTGCAATTACATTCTATCTGTATGATAAAAATGGTCACACTTACAATCTGCATGTTTTTGAGCATTGGCCAATAACGAATCTAATAATTCCAGCAGTTATGGGAGAGAGAAACTGGTTTGGGCAGATGCTACTCCTTAAGGATCAGTACTGCAATTTCAGTGAGTTCTCTCTTTGGTTTCAGAAAGCAGAAGATGGGATGAGGTGACAGGATTATACATTTGTACACCCGCAGACTTTTTCTTTCTTCTTTTCATGGAGAATATAGTGCATAGATAATAATATCATCTTCAGTGTGTGGGTTTATCCCAAGGGTTAACGGCAGGAATGACAAATACACTCATTTTTCAGAGCGTTGTGTCTTGCTTGTAATATAAGGCAAACTGCCCAGTAGTTTTTGGCTGCTTAAGTTCTAGTTTGTGGTGATAATGGCTTTTCTTTTCCTATACAGCTGTTTTCTTTGTTCTAGATCTCAGTAAATACTGCTAGCTACGGCTTTAATTGAGATCTATCCTTTTACTCTATGGAAAAAAAGCCATCTTGAGAAATGTTCCAAAATATAAGTGATATTCCTATTGGAGAAAAAGTATTTTTCCTCCCCAGGATTTAGACATATTAAATCTTATGAGAAGAAGCAACAGTGTCTGAATATCCGCCGTTCCTTTCCAGGGTGCGCAATGACTTCGACGTCCTCACGAACCGGCTGATCGGCAGCCACGGCTACTGCACTCAGGTAAGGGAAACACGGAGCCCTGGAGGTGTTGTGTGCCTCTGAGAGCTGTGCCACAGAAAGCTGTTGCTCACCTATGGGAGGAGATGGCATTTCTCACACGCACACACATGCACCTTTGCGCCCGCGTTGGAAGAACTCAGCTTATTTTAATTACGTCGCCAACAGGAATTGGTGAACTTGCTGTTGACTGGCAAAGCTGTGTCCAATGTTTTCAACGATGTGATAGAGCTGAATTCTGGAAATGGAAACATCACCATTCTGAAAGGCATCACAAGCCGCAGTGACATTGGGTTGCTGTCTCTTTTTGAGCACTATGACGTCTGCCAGGTATGTTTTCCATTCTTCTGATTTTAATCCAAAAGGGAGCAATTAGTAACTATAAATTGGCTTGGGATGAGTATAGAAAGTAAGAAATTATGAGCTTCATTCTGCTGTCCACTCAGATGGTTCCGGTGCAATTTCCAGATGCCCCAAGGCAAAGTGTGGTGAACTTCTTTTAGTGCATGTGATGGCAATGGTGATGAGGAGACGGTTGGACTAGATGATCTTGTAGGTCGTTTCCAACCTTGTGATTCTATGATTCTATGATTCTGGATGCAGGTCCTGTGTCACACAGCCCTCTGTAAATGGCTTGGGCAATCTCTGAGCATCTCAGATGTTCTGTGCCTACATGTTTTTCTAACTGATCTCTTGCAGTGGCAGTCAGCTTGCTGGCTAACACATTTCCGTTTCAGTATCTGCTGTTCCCTTGATTGTATTCACCAAATCTCTGCTGATTATAGAGGAGTTGAGGTGCCCAGCTCACATGTGGGTGCTTATATTCTGGTCATGTAAACATAACAGGCTGTATCTGGAGCTGATGCTTACCTTAAGTGTTGGTTTTCCATTAGTTTGTGTGACTAGAAGCCAGACTGATTGCATCATCTAATTCATGCTGGAATGCTGCAGGTTGTCATATTGTGTTAGAAATAATAACAGACAATGGATGTAGCTGGCAACAGAATGGGAACGTTCCCTTTAATATGTTTTTGAAATTAATATTTTAATTGTGTTTATCATGAACTGAGAAAGATTAAAATTTAAAAGAAACTACAGCCATTAATTTACCTCTGGAAAAACATGCGTGAGGATTTCTCTGATTTCTCCATCAGCAGATCTTATCATCACGGTGGACATCTTTCCTAATGACATATTCTATCTAAAACAGACAGTCTTGTGTCTGATGCTGGGATTTTCTTTGAAGCCTCTGTTAGATGCTAGATGAGATAACTGTAATGGTCCCATCTGGATTTGCCATCAGTGCCTCCATACAAATTGGAAGGTGATTAGCACAGAGTCTGTTTGTACTTGTCTAATATAAATATGTGTCTGAAAACAGAGTTAGATTTTCACTATGTTTCCCATATGGCTGAAAGCAGTTCCATTTTCCTACTACTGAGAATTCTAATTCCTCTTACTTTTAATTAATGCAATGCTTTACATCATTTACAAGGTTATAATCAGGCTTAAATTCAGTACATAAAGCATATCTCAACGTTTCCAATTCGGACTAATTTGGAGCAAACTGAAGTAAAAATAAATTAGTTTCAGTGGCTATTTCAAGCTCGCTGTCCTTTCCTATAAAGAATGTAACACTTAAAACCTCAAATAAAAAGGTTTGCAGTAGCATTTTTTCCACTCTCCAGTGAGCAAAGCGACTTCTAAATAGCAAGATGGTCATTGAGGTCAGTGCAGCTGAGAGCTATTTCTTTCTCATCTAAGAGCAAAATAAAAAGTTGCTTAGAGAATCAGACACTGTCTTCCACTCGCTCTGCAAATTATACAGTGGAGAGGGTCCGTCCTTCCGTCTGGACTTGGGAGCAGGGATCTGTTTTCCAAGCCAGAGACTCTTAATCAGCTACAGAAGCCCCAGTACATGTTGTCTTCCCTTTTTGTTGTTGTTGTTGAGTCTACACCAGTTAGGCATCTGATGCCAGTTGTCACGCTTATTATTAAGAACATCTGTGAGCATTGCAGTTCGTACATCTGGGTGCACATTGCATGGCCTGACTAAGGGCTGGGCACTCCAGTTCCTGCTGGAGTTTAGCTTCAAGTCTGGGCAGTCCCTATCACAGCTTTGGTGCAGGGGGCCACATTCTGCTTTCTGTTTCAAACCTGCTTGTTTCCGAAATCAAATGGCACTGATAGTTTGCTGTGTTGGAACTGGGAAGAGAATTTGCCTGCAAGTCTTTCGAGTGGACTGTTTTCTTCCTCTTTGTATTTCAGTAAGTAGCTCCAGCCTCCAATTACATTGTGGCTGTGAGGATGGCTGAAACCAGAAATGGAAAAGAACTGTAATTTATCTTTTTTTTTTTCCCCCAGGAGTAAGAAAATCCTGAGCGTGATATATGGTGAATCATAGACATTGGAGTAGGAAAACTCCCTCTAGGTCAAACCCAGCCGATTTCTCAGGGGATGATGCAGGATATTTTTGCGTCCTGTTGCAAAGCAGGCTCTCTTTAAAAAACCCCTATTCGTTCTAGTGGTTGGCAGCCCTGCACATAGCAGGGGGGGTTGAAACTAGATGATCTTGTTGTCCTTTTCAAACCAGGCCCTTCTATGATTCTATGATTCCATAAACTCTTGCCATCAGATAGCCACTTATTGGTTGATTGTAGTGCATCTAATTATGATTTTGCCTTTTTTCTCACGTGTCTACTTTAGAATATGAGGAAGTACAAAAAAGGATTGTACCTCTGTATGTGGAGATTGTGGTGTTATCTACCATACAGCTTGTGCTTTGGACATACTTCCACATGTTAAACCTGATGGTCCATTTACTTAGTTTCCTCTGATTATCTTTCCTCCTTCTAATCCAGCCTTCCCCCAGAACAACTAATGGCCATCTGCTAGACATTTGTGAGCTGATGCAACAGTCGCAACAGCTTTTTCAACAGCTCATCTTGTCCAGAGCTTATTTTTATTGCTCTCCTGTAGACTTCTTCCTACTTACCAATGCATTCATTAAGAGATACACAAGATTCCAGGCAGTAAATCCACACAGGAAAATATTCTTATATATTTCATCTCTCTGGTCTAAAATATGGGGTATTCATATATAAGGCACAGTTTTCTTGGCATATCTTTGGAGCTGAGAACACTGTGAGGGCATGAGAACGGAGTTAATTCTTCTGTCAAACGTCAACAGTAGCAAATAAGAACAAAATGATCTGTCCCTTTTTCACCCATGATTCCTGAAGAATCCCTCTGTTGCTGATCCAGCAGTCTCTTTCAGTGAATCATGCTGAATGTGTTATCTTTGCTGATTGGAAAAACGTGTGCTTCATGTCATTTGTCTGGAACTGTTCATGTCCAGTCATCACTCCTAGTCCTACCATTACCATGTTCATTTTAGTCTTTGTAGTGTAATTACTTGTTGTGCATTTTTTTTTGACAATGACAGATGGATTTATTCAATGCAATTCATATGCAAACATTCAGTTTCATAGTGAAATTCCACATTTTTATGCAAAAAAGCTAAAAATCCGTACTGTTCCTTCTCTGTAGGCAAGTCACAGATGTTTGGATTTGTTCCTTTGTGACAAGCCTGTACTCAAGCTACGTATCTTAGTTCCACCTGATCCTACACATTGAACTGAGAAGACTTCATTAAAATTTTGGGCTTTCTGGTATTTTTTTAATGCTTTATAAATTGCTGAAATGTTTTTAAAAGCTGGTCAACCCGCCTAAACCTGGGCTGGCTTCCCTCTGTCTGCTGGCTGGCGGCATGCAGCGGGTCCGTAATAGTCTGAGGAGCTGTGTGGTTTCTGCAGTGGGACAAGACCTCGGGTAAAGAAGCCAGGTGCAGAAGTGTGCAGGACCAATGCAGAGGTGACATGGGAGAAGGTCCCTGCTTTTTGCTCAGTCCTTGGCTTTGCAATAACGTTTTACAAGGGAGGTGATGGATGAGCAAAAGGCAAAGCGCTTTTCTCCGGCTCATGCAGTGAGCTAGCGGTTCAACTTGAGGAAGGTACAGCTCTTCTGAATGTCTGCTTTCATGGTTTGTACAATACTGGCCGATTTGGCCTTCTGAAATGCTTTCTGAAAGCACTCCAGTATGCACTGTTACACCTCCTAAGGTAAGTATTCGAGGCTGCTCAGGATGAGGACTCTGATTCTTCTAGGAGTTGGACTAAATGCTCCTTATGGGTCCCTTGTAATTCAGGATATTCTGTGATTTTTGGTCTTCCCTGCTCCTGCTCCTAGGCAGTCCTGCTATCCCAGAGAAGCCAGCTATCTATAGGTGACCTCCCAGGCTCACCATATTCTGATTCCTGACAGCATCCAAATCCATGCATCAGCTGTCAGCATTTTGAAAGAGTCTGCTTTTTAGTGTTCATGTTTCTGAAAATGAAGAGAAAACAGTGTTGACAAAGAAATTACAGTCATTTTTCCTGTGTCTTTTCAGAAGGAGAAGGAAGCATAAAAGAACAGAATTTATCCATTAAAATTCCACATATGGGAAATATTATCTTTGGTCCTTTTGATGAAACCAGCACAAGCTGTGCTATAACAAGACCTACTTGAATTATTAAATTCAGCACACATGGTCTGTCTTCTGGCACCTCACCTGTTTATTTGCCCTGTGGAACGTCCTTCCTATAACCTCCTGTGCTGGGAAATATGTCTGCTAAGCAGGAGCCTCTCTCAGTCAGATGGACTGGATTCAAGTCAGGTCATTGGTGAGGTTGTGGAGGGGGAGGGATAGAAAGAGTTTTTTAACCACCTTGTTTAAGAAAACATCAAAAAAGTAGGCATTTGCAAAATGGAAACCAATGGTTGGTTGTATTTTCTGCTTATTTTTCAGTAATGGGTAGGCAGTAGACGTTGTACATCAATGGATGCATTCTGCAGGTGGCTGCTATTTATGCAAGGCATTCATGAGTGCCACTGTGGGCAAAAATATGTGATACATTCAGTTTGACTGAAGCAAACCTGACAAAGCATTGACCGTATTTGAAGTGTATTCTTCATTCCTTTCTTTTAAATCCTGCTTTCTGTCTTGGAAATGAAATTTTCTTTAATGAAGTCCTATTGTCCTCCTCATGGACATCTTTTTTCCCAGTAGCCAGTCACTGTTGCTGAAATATTGGCATTGATTTCTTGTCAACGTGCTGCCAAATAAGAAACGATCACAGCAATTTTTCGTAAGACTGTAAGACAAACTTCACATTTAAAAGAGCTTTGCATCGTTTGTTAAAATGCAAAACAGAACATGTTAAGTCAAATATTGTCCTCCCATCTGTTCATATTGTAGATATCTGTATTTTGGTCTGGACTGATCCCATCAAACTTTATCTCTTCTTCCTTGATTTTTACAGAGAGCCAAAGCCTAGAGGCCAACCCAAATTAGGGGGCCAACAAATAGATGTTAGAGTTAAGTGGACTGAATCTTGACCTATCTTTGCCATTGCAGTAAAGCAACAGATTGAAATTAGTATAAATCCCTCCACTTGGCCTGAAGGAACGGCAAAGTCCTGAAGTCTGAATGAAGGGGTGATTTTCCCTCAATACTACTTCACTTGGTGGGACATACAAGAAAAGCAACAGAATGGGGCAAGGATAAAGGAACAATCTTGAGGCTACCTGGCACCTTTTTGAACTACAATTGCTGTGTTCTCTTACAGACCTAAGTAAAAAAATCAGTGCTGCCCAAGTCTTTTCTTTCCTTTGGTCATCCTGGGACTGAGCACACATCTCTTTCAGTTCTTCTCCATTAGTTATGTACTTTTTTCCTCCAAATTCACCATCAGAAAGGACTCAAAGCTATGGAAAATATCTATGACTCCCATGTATCTGTATTTTTTTCTTACTACTGCTAATAAATATCTGGCTAAAAAAATGCTTCAATCTCTGCCTGACCTGGCATGGCCACTAAGTTTTGCACAGTCTGAATATCAGAAGTTGTGAACATTAATTTTATGTCTTAATCTAAAATTAAAATTAAGTACATATTTAATGAACATAAACTTGACACCGTCCCTTAATAACATGCAATGGTAGCATGTAAGTGCAAATGGAGATGTAGCAGTAATATGGTTGACCTGCTGTTCTATTAATGGTGGTGGAATGGGTCATCTGAGTTGTGTCCTCGATCACCCAAGCACTGTTATAAGGGTGTCTGTTTTTACATCATTGACTTCAACACTGTTGGAACATTGTTTAATGTTAATTCAAACCAGCAGAGGCCCTGGCAACTGGGGGAAAAGAGCTGTCAGAACAAACGATAGGCTGCTTGTTTGTTCCACTTGGTATACATGTGGCAAAAGCCTTGCTCAGTGAGGAAATCATGTCTGAATGGGGCAGTACCATGCACTCATGTTGGCAGCTACATAGGAGTAATTCTCCTGTAGTAAATATTTGTCTGATTTAATTTCAGCATTGTGCAAATACACACTGAAGTCATATGTGGAAAAAGACCACCCGTAGTGTTGAAAATGAGCCTTCTGAAAGGGCTTGCTTTAGAAAGGTTGACATTTTCCAAAGATGAGGATTGTGGCTCTGAAATTTATGAGCATTCTTACAGGATTTGTAAGGGATACGATTACTGTTCAGTGAAGTCTCCTTAGGAATTGGAAACATGCAATACAAAAAGTCATCTTATGCATTCCCCCTCTTAATTTTTTTTGCCTTGGCAAAGATTAATGAGCAAGCTTGAAAATAAATATCGAATAGTAATGCATTATTGTTCTGTAATGCATTGTGATACTACAAGAAGCTTCTTCTGTTCTTCAAACTATAAGACAGCTGATGAGCCCTTGACAAAAATAATGATATTTGATTAAATAGATTCATGCCATGTACTCCTGATTTGCCTTTGGAAATCAGTGCTGCCAGTACATTTGTAGGGCACTTGCTGGAAGGTGCATGCTCAAAGTCAGCTTAAGTGGTTTTGATTCAGATCACGAGATGCTCATTCTTGTCCTTCAGTGTCCTGTGTCAAGGTCCTGGTACACTCCAGGTTTGTTATCACCCAACAACCTGGCCAGGCAACTGAAGAAGCACTCACCACTGATCAGGTGGGCCAGTTAAAAGGAGACGTTCTTTTCGCCCACTCAGCAAGTGATGCTTGAAAAAGTAGGCAAGAGAATCCTCATAGTGAGGGTGGGGGGCTGTTTTGTCCACCCTGATGCTCATAAACGTAAGTGCAATGTTGCTGCACAGCATGATCACTACGTGCGTGTATCAAAGGCTACAGGACATGTATAATTTACTTATCACCTCATTAAATGGAGATATGTTTAAGGGAAACTGCTCCCACCTGCCTGGAGTTCATGGGCTGTTTCTCAGATTATTGTGTATTTTTCTGAGTTTTGTTTGAACTATTTTGCTGATGTAACAGAGAGCTTGGGGAACTGATAGAAGATGTCTCTAGTTGTCATAAGGCCAAGGAGAGCCTGCAGAAAACATGGCACATACTTGTATGGAGAAGGATGAAGAGGCATGGGAGTGTTTAGGTAGAGCAAAGGGAACATGTGACACTGTTAGTGGTTGGGCTTGTGTGTTTGCTTCTGCATGGCAGATGCACATCAGGAGATAAAAGGCAATCAGAGAAGGGAGTAAATGTGTTTGAAGGATGTAATTCCTTGGATTTGGGCTGCTATTACACTTCACTACGGACTCTTTGCTCATTAAGTCTTACAGTTCTACTCAGCACACTGTTGTGTGGGAAGAAAAGTCATCTCAGAACTGAATTTTCTGTACAGTTAAATTGGAAGTGAGATTAGAAACAGAGTGAAGTAGCCAGCTGCTGGGTGGACCGCTGCAGTGATGGCTGGGATTGCTGCAGGCCGTGTCTGGATGCAAAACTAACCAAGACCAAGGCGTGGATCTGAGAACAAATGGTTGTGAATCCGTGGTTGTATGTATTTCCTGAAAGTTTGGAAGCATGGTTCTCAATTTCATTGTATTGCTTTTTGTAGAAAGAAATACGCATGTAGCCTGAGGAATGCTGTAGGATAGGGATGCTGCTTATAGCCATGTGGATACAAACCATTCTGTGCCAAGTGGACTTAAGGCTGTGAACAAAACCTGAACTTGTTTTCTCTACTGGAGTAGGAATAGCTTGACTTAGCTGGAGGCCCCTAGAAGCTGATGGCAGTAAAACAAAGTGGTAGAGGTGTGGGGGAGAAGCACATCAGGAGGCACTGGCCACTGCTGGTACACAGTGTGATGTTAACAGCAGCATCTGATTCTGAGCTAAAAGTTCAGAGTGAAAGCGATGCAACTGAAATGGAGACTTCTCGTTTCTTATGGGAAATGAGGTTTGACATGCAACATTTTGATGTTCTCATTGTGGCCCTCAAGTCGAGGGCCTTGCCTTCTTCCGCTAGCGTTGTGATTGAAAACTGTGCATATTTGGAAGGTGTTCCTGCAAGACCTTACTCATCTGAACAGCTTGTCCTGACTTCAGTGGGATTGTTCATGTGAGTAAGAGTTGGGAGGGACGTCTGCTTGGAAACAGTTCTGTATCTCTCTAATCCTTTTTTGTCGAACGTTGTTTGATGAAGCTTACAAGTTACTTTAGCAGACATATATGGGAAGAAAACATGTTATTTTTTTAAGAGAAGAGTGACTGTTCCCTTTTGGCTTTGATTTATCAGGATACTAGAATGTGGATGTTTGTGCAACTGAATCTTTTCATCCATTGCCCTCTAATTTGCCGTCTTTTGTTGCATCTGTGTATTTCCCTTCTTGATAACTTGTGTTATGAGTGTTTTTGTAAGCTTGTAAAAAAATGCAGTACATGGAAGCCAAGAATTAAAAAACAAAACTGTTGCATAAAAGCCTGTTTTAAATAGATACTGACAGAGCAATGAATCAGGCAGGAGTTACTTAAGTAGTGAGTAACTGTTATCCGGCATCAGAAGAAATTATCATTTGGGAAGATAATTTTGTAACACTTCAGATTTGAGTTCTAAATCTTAATAATAAGAAGGATATGTTCCTTATGCCTTAGAATACTCTTTAGGCTTTTCATTGCAACTGCATATTTATTGGCTTCTGCTTTTTAGCGCTGTACTGCATGACCTGTATTACAGAGGCAGAAACTGATGCTGCATTTTCCTGCATGTACACTTGGACGCTTGGCTGCCATCCCTTGAGTTGCAGATCTACATCATCCCAACAGTGCCACGTCTGTTTAGGAGATAAAACACAAAACTTCAGGTAGAATAAAGATGGTTGTACACAACAACCAGCATGGCAGTGATTCTGTCATGGATTAAGACAGCGGCACGCAAAGGAGAGTGGTAGCTACCTCAGAACACAGTAGTGTCAGGTGAAGAAAACACTGCATTTTACTGACTGACTTCAGGGGAGGCAGAAATCTCCCTGACTCTTTTTATATCAGCATCTACCGTGTTTCAGAGCAATAGATGCATCCCTGTAGGTATTCAAGCATGTATACGTATGTCTGCCTTAAAACATAGAATCATAGAATCATAGAATCACCAAGGTTGGAAAAGACCTAAAAGATCACCCAGTCCAACTGTTCACCTATTGCCAATAGCTCCCACTAAACCATGTCCCTCAACACAACATCCAGCCTTTCCTTGAACACCCCCAGGCTCGGTGATTCCACCACCTCCCTGGGCATCCATTCCAGTGCCTGACCACCCTTTCTGAAAAGTAATACTTCCTCATGTCCAGCCTGAATCTCCCCTGCCGTAGCTTGAAGCCATTCCCTCTGGTCCTATCACTAATGGCACGAGAGAAGAGGCCGACCCCCAGCTCACTACAACCTCCCTTCAGGAAGTTATAGAGAGCAATGAGGAACATAAATCCCATGGGGAGTGATAGAGATGAGTTTCACAGCTATTTCAGAGGACAGTTTCGTCTTGTTCTGATCATTTGGGATGTGATCTTGTTTGCTTGGTACTACAGCTGGATTTTGTCACCTATAATCAAGGCCAGATACTTGCTTTGAACCTCTAAATGACTTACCAGGTCTTTCCTGGTCTATAATCTTCTGAATCTTTCTTTTAGGTTGGTTGTTACCTGAAGACTCCTAAATACCCAATTTGGTTGGTATGCAGTGAAAGCCACTTCAGTGTGCTTTTTTGTCTGGAAAAGGATTTACAAGGCGACTGGAAAACCGAGCGGAGGTTTGATCTCTATTATTACGATGGCTTGGCCAACCAAGAAGAAGAAATACGATTAACAGTTGGTACGTACAGTGCAGTGACTGCATCTCATCCCTTGCGGTGGTGACATCGAAAAGAAGCATCCAAAATTGCATGAAAAGTGAACAAATTGATGATGGTATCTGGCATTACGAGAGCATTTGTGAGCCTGTTTTCTAATTTCCAGAATTAGTCTTGATGTTTCATTTGAAAGCAGATTTCTCAAGGCAGTCATGAGGACAAGCCCTTGGAAGGGCATTTTCCTCCAGCTGTTGCTGTGTGTTTTCTGCAGGCAGAAAGTGCAAACCTTCTGTTCCTCAGCACTACACACATGGTAGTGTGAGCAGAGCAGGTGAGCAAGGATTGAATCCTTGCTTCCAAATCCAGCTGCTTCACAAGATGGCCATAACATCTAGCAAGGACAGGCCTGCTTGTGAACACGCTTGGAAATACAAGAATGTGAAAGATCTGACTTGTTAAACACGTTCTTTCAGGAAACCATGTCAAATTATGGGGTTGCTTTTACAGAAGTTGTGCTTCTTGAACTGGAAGACAGTTGGACAAGCAGTATTCTGATGCTAAGAAAGCTTCATTTCCATATTAAGATATTCTTGAGCACTAAATTCATATTTTCTTATGATAGCCTTCTTATCCTTTGCTTTCCATCCATCGCTGCATGTATACAACCTAATCAAACTCCATCTTTATCTGAAGGAGACACTCTGCTGAAGTCCTCTCTTAAAAACAGCCTGTTGCTGTTCCTTGTTTGCATTGACATTCTGATTCTTGGACAGGATGAGTTACACACGGGGGCTGCATGTTCTAATTAAGGCCCTGTGGCAAAGCAGTTGGTATGATGGTGGCTCTGGAGGCCTTTAACATCTCATAAGGTTTAGTAGTGAATGCTGTAGCCTTTCTTTGCTCTTATTTTGATTAAAGTCCGTGACTTTCAATTGTAGCCATTGCATTATATGTTATTTCTGCAAATTTCTCAACCTCCACAGCACACTGCTGCAAAATGGTTCCCACACAGTCTGTCCCAGATACAGGAAGATTTATTGAAACAGATTGTACAAAAAAATCCCTATATCTTCACTTGGAGACAACATATTGTAAACGTTAACAAGTTATCATCAAAACAATAACGATTACCAACAATCTCACTATTTTCATAGGCTAATACTTTTCTTATTCAGCCTTTTTAGGCCGAATGTCTTCCGTGATTTATTTATTTGGCTGTTATATGTTGTCTGTATAAAAGAAGTAATCTCTTTTGATTTTGGTCTGTGGATGTGTCCCTAGGCTTGCTGTTTTCAGACGGTCCAAGGGAATTGCTACATGCTCGTGACCGTTAGCAGAGGATTTCTCTTTCAGGTAGAAGGATTCTTTCTAAGTGATACATAGGATTCTGAAAAGGAATGGGAGATGGAAACGTGTTCATTGTATTCTGCTGCACTGTGCATCATACGGTCCAAAACAGGCATCCTTCTTTTTCTCTTTGATAAATCAGAGACATCTCCAAACTCCAAATGTACCCAACACTCTGAGAGCCCTGGAAGAGAAAGTGTTCAGAGGCAGAATTGCCTATTTCTCCTCAAAGATGAGACTTGCACTGAGAGGTAGATGTCTTTTTGTTGCAGCCGTAGCCCCTTCCACGGATCCAGCCTCTTCTTTTGTTATCTGTGACATTCTGCAGAAGGCTGTAAACTGCAAATAGTTTCATCATTCCAGGCAAAGGCTTTTGTAGCACTGGCAGTGCAGTAATCCTGCACTTGGTCTGGAGAAAAACTGGAGTTGTTTTACTTCTTAAAGGTGACACTGAACATAAATCTAAGCTGTGCATGCAGTACCAGGTAGAAATACCATGATGGCAAGTATGACTGGTATTTCCACCATGGAAATATCAACAAGCTGTGATGATAAGGCAGCATTATGCAGAGATATAGCACGAAGTCCTGGATGTTGCACAGCCACATCTCACAGATCTGAGTTTGGGAGGTTGTTTGCTTCTCGCTAGCAATAAAGGGAATTCCTTGAAATGTAGATCTCACATACAGTTATGAAGATTACAATCAAGATCACGTTTAGAAAATCCTGAAGAAATTATACTGGGCAAGAATTGCATAGAAGCCAGAAAGTAGGAGCAGAATTAATTTTGGGGTCAACAGCAAATACTGTTTTGCATTAAATCACCATCAATATTACATGGGATTGAGACTTTGCCCTGCTTCTCACACTGATTACCCCTTTGCAAAACATTGACAAGAAATATGAAGTTCCTTCCTAAAAGCAGGCTGCAGCTACTAGGGAGTTCAACACTCAATCCTAAATAAAGGTTCATCAGTTCTTTCCATTTGGTAGAATTTTCTGATAGTCATAGAGAGAAAACAAGCCAGTGGATCTAAATTAATTGCTCATGTGCTTTCGTCAGTTGTTTAGGGACTCAGTGAGATTGTTGTTGCAGGTCACGCAGAGCTCTTGTATGAAAGAGCTTCTTGTTCTGCTTGGAGAAATACTACTGTTTTCTGACATACACCATTAATACCTATCTATGTCAACATTCACAATATATTGTCTCCAAAGTTAAGGTGAGATTGTTCCAACGTGCAAAAGTCTTCTGGAAAAGCAATTAATAAAACATCACTGCCTAAGGTGGCCATTTAAATAATGAGCATTATGTCTTGTCTGTTCCAGTTCCACTCTCCTGAACCTGTCCTCACATATCTCTTGAATAACAAGTTTGTAACTCATCTGACGCTCAGTTTCTCATCATCTTTAGCTTAGGTATAAGTATAAATGATGATCACATAGGTAGATCAGGTCCTTCTTGCTCTTGGTGACTCCTAGGTGGAAAAGTTTAACACTGAGGCTCTTTGCTCCTAAATGAGTTATGTGAAACATTTTAATGCAGTCATTAGTTGAATAACATATTGCCTGATTTGGTAAGGTATACTTTTAGTGATACTTTCCTATTCCTTTCTATGAAAAACAGCAGTTCAAAATCCAGTTGGAAGAACTCAAGTCTAAAACTGAGAAAACTATGCAAGTTGGCAATGACTATGAAAGGCAGCTGTGCTGGATGCCTATTTTCTGCTGATTTTGTGATTAGGACAGCAAATGCTGCTTCTTAGTAAGGGCTCCTCAGATCCTAAATGTCCGTGTCAGGAATTCCTGGAGTGCACAAACACTATTCATAGGGATCATAGAACCACCAAGGTTGGTAAAAACCTCTGAGATCACCCAGTCCAACCACCCACCTACCACCAATATTTCCCCACTGACCCATGCCCCTTAGTAAAAGGTCTGAGTGCCTCTGGAATACCTGAGAGAAAGAGGTGTTCATTGCTCTGAGAGCGGTGAGGTGCTGGAACAGCTGCCCAGAGAGGCTGTGATGCCCCGTCCATCCCTGGAGGTGTTGGAGGCCAGGTTGGATGGGGCCCTGGGCAGCCTGGGCTGCTGTGAAATGGGGAGGTTGGTGGCCCTGCATTGGTGGGGGGTTGGAGCTTCGTGATCCTTGAGGTCCCTTCCAACCCAAGCTATTCTATAATTCTGTGATGTGCCATTGGAGACCTGTAACAAACTCTTATAAACTCTTAAATATTGGGATGAGAGAGGCCCATTGAATCTTGAAAGATTCCAGTGTATCCCTTCAGTTCCTGAGGTTCCAGGATAAAACTGCCACTACTTTAAGTAATTTTAAATTTTGACTGTTTTCTGTTACTCTGCCCCTGCAGTTGCTCAGAGCATTCTGCAGGCATTTGTACTGACAGGAGGAAGTCAGATATAGCTGAGACGGGCAGCAGTGAATATAGGAGCATTTGCCTCCCATCCTGTCTCCATCAGTCTCACTGCGTCAGCTCCATATCCTGCACCCTGGCTTGGTACCATCAGTTGCTCACAACATTCCCGTGGGCTGAAAGAAAACTGCCAAAAACCAGCTCCAGTGTACAGCAGTTTAAGATGTTTTACTCCAAAACAGGAAACAGCTGAGCAGACTGACATCCAAGCTGGCTGCAGGATGTTTTCTCCCTGGGAAATTCAGCAACTACTTTCACTGTTGACAGATCCAGGCTCTGAGACACTGACCTCTCTGTTTTCCCCGGAACAATGCAATTGCCTCTCCATCCCAAAGGAATGCTCAGAGACTGTGGTAGCTCTCTTCCATCTCACACGATGCTGTCTTCTCCCATCTGTGCTCTCTTTCCACAGTGAAGGGACAGTTTTCCTTTCAGGGGTGAAGGAATGTTAATTTACTTTTGGCTGGACTTGGGATTTGTTATTCACGTGTAGGACTATTACTGTCCTCAGTGTGTGATTAAACTGCTTTCTTAATAATCCATTCATGGACTGCAAAATAGATCCTCACAGTAGCCCTCCAGCACATCCTTTCACCTTCTGGCCTTCTAGTTTTCCTTGGGACCATCTCTGTATTGATCAGGTAACCTGGGTCAGGTCATGGCCCAAACACTGTCCCACAGTTATCCTTATTGCTAAGTAGTCAGTACAATTCTGGGCAAGATTCTAGACAAATCAGCTAACACTGGGTCCAACTTAGGGATTGTTCCCAACAGCAAGCTTACATGTAGTCACCTCCTTTCATCCTTTGAGCAGCCACCACAGGAATAGGCAATAGACCAGGAGTTGAAATGCTATGAGGTTTACAGTGTGAGTAGCAGGGATTCTTGTCTATGCTGTCACATCCATGGGTGGACTTCCTAGAAACCACTGCAGTGTAGAATAGATATATACCTCAGCTTCTAATTATGTCTGATATGTGTTTTTAGACACGACTCAGATGTGCACTGAAGATAAAGAAAACGATCTTACTCCTCCACTTGAGCACTGCATTAGGACAAAGTAAGTGAAAATGGCATTTAACATGCAAATATTTTTACAGAATTATGTAAATAATATACGTAAAGCTTGAGTGTGGCTAAAAAGTTAATATTGTGGCAGTTACTCTTGCAAAATTACTGGTTAAGAGTTAGAAAAGATCACTCTCCGTTGTGCATCAAATTGTCCAAGGCATTCGTTTCACCCTTAGAGGAACTGTCATTATGTCACCAGAAGCTGACTGAGCCATAATTCGAGAGCTCAACTTGATTTCAGAAGATCAAAATGTGGATTCATTGGTTCCTACTGTAGAGGTATAATGAGAAAAGAAGAAATTCTCTTCCATCTCTATCAGTCTTTCCTGAAAAATATCAAAGCACAGAAGCACTTGGGTACCACCTTCGATACCTGAAGACCTCAGTGGTCTCAGTTCTCTCAAACTGCCCATGGAAGCACTGACTTCTCCAGGCAAACATGATGTGAAATGATGGACTTTTAATTATTTATCCAAATTGTGATGAAGTTAACGAGAACATTTTCAATTTACTGAGTTATGGAAGAAGCAAAATCAGGCTGAAAGTATCAGCTTTATATCACTCCTTCAACAGGACTTTGAAAGCTGCTATCTGAGTATCTCTGGAGCGAGAATTAAAAGCCTCATTGTCAAAGCCCATAACAGCACTGCAGCTTCAGATTTCCCTTGTCATTTCCCTCCTTTCTCTGCCACATTTTTTTTTTTTCCTGCTAAGAAAAAAAAAAAGGCAAAACAAATAAGGACAGTGGCTGCCAACCAGTGTGTTCCTGCAGGGCTGGCTTTATGGAGTTACAGGAAACAAATGAGGCATCCTTCAGCGTGACAGCACCGTTGGTTCAGGCTCCCTGCACATATAGGTTGTATGGATTCTACTGTTCAAGGGAAACATCAGCATGACTGCAAACAAAGACAGATAATCCTTAGCCTCAGAAACCCACAGAGTGGGGAGAACACTGCATGCAACTATTTAAAGTCACTCTTAAAATGTCTTCAATTCCTGGCGTTGCATCAAAGTTACACAAAGCCTTGGTAATGATGATGTTTGTTTATTCTGAATTCCTTACTTTAATCTATTGTGGAAGTAAATTACCACCAAATTCCAGTGTCAATTAATTGTGTTTGTACCATTCCTGGGACGATCTGATTTACCCTGATCAGTCTCTCTCCTTGTTTTCTGTATTCTCCAATTGCTTTGAACGTATTTATTCAAGCATGGCCTTGCTGCTAAAGGTCCTTCATGCCATGTTATTCCTTTTTGCTTGAAGAAATTTTTCTCCAACTCTATAAACAGTATATGGGGAAAAGTAAAAACAAAACAAACCAACGAGTGTTTAACAAATTGAGAGATACAAAAACAAATATTTAGTATCATACAACTGTGGAAAACACCAATAAAATAATTGTTACTGAAGCAAGCCCAACAAACAAACAAGCAAGCAAACAAACTAACAGGGCTGCTACTCCTTTTTCACCTAGCATTACAGCAATAAAGCTCATTATCAGATCTTTCTCATCAAAAAAAGTAGTTTCTCAGTGTGGACAATTTAATAGTGTAACGGAATAGAACTGAATCGACCATTGTTTCCAAATTTCCATTAGGGGTTTTTCTTTTCATTTGCACGACTTAGTGCTGTTTCAGTCCATAGGAAGTCTTAACAGAGGGTTGCCCCATACCTGAACATCAGCACCCTGCAGGGTGTTGAGTCCTATGGTGGCCATCTGTCTGCTGTTTGTTCTCTTACCATCTGCCAATGGAAAGATCTGCATCTGTAATAGATAGTCTGTTTTTAGCTTTTTCATTATTATTAACAGAGGAGTTGTTTTGCTTCTGCAGGAGGAGGCTTATGCTTTTATTCCCTATTTCTGCAAAATGTCAGAAAAGGAGGGCTTGAGTTTAAAGCAGTTAACCCTTTGCATGACCAGGACAAATAGTCCTCAGCTGGGATCGATTTAACCTGCAGACTCCCAGCTGAAGAGTCACTGTTGTGCAACTTCTGTTGGGATTTTCAGCCTAAGACATCCATAGAAGTAGTCAGGTTTGTATCGACAGGCGTCTGTAATGGGCAACCTTGGGGGAGTTTCTGGGAGATGCCATGCAGATGCCTGATCCCATTTTCCCCTGAAGAATACTCTCATTTCACAGTCATCATCCTCAGCATCTCTCTGGGCTGGTGCTAATAGAATCATAGAATCACAGAATGGCTGGGTTGGAAGGGACCTCAAGGATCACGAAGCTCCAACCCCCCAGCAATGCAGGGCCACCAACCTCCCCATTTCACAGCAGCCCAGGCTGCCCAGGGCCCCATCCAACCTTGAACACCTGCAGGTAACATCTGTTAGCTCTACCTAAGGGGAAGAAAACTTTGATCTGATATTATAATCTGAATCTAGTTTCAGATTTTGTTAGCCCACAACATTCAGCTTTCTTTCATGGTTCTGGAACGGTGTGGCACAGTGTTCCTTCAAAGTGAGACATTTGGTAGAAATATGATAGATAAGAAGAAAGGGTGGGCACTTAATCCTAAATTATTGGTGCCAGATGATCAATGCAAGAGATATTCTCTGAAAGTTACTCCAGAGGGAGCATTGCTCAGGGCTCGAACCAGTTCTTCCAAGGTTCAGTGGAACTGCTCCATTTAACTTCCATGACCCTCAAATGAGGTCGTAGTCAAACCAGATGAGACCAGTGTTGTTTCCATACTGCTAATCTGATAAATTGTAATTCCATCTGAGTTCCATTTAGGTTACGCTGTGGTGAGTCAGTTGGAGAAATGAGAGCTCTGAATTTTTTGGATCGTGTTTTTTTCATTAAGAAATGACCACTTCAGCACCTGTGAAAGAGGTTCTCACTATCTGACACCTTTTCTTGTGCAGATGCAATGGGTAAGAAAGTTTCAAAGCTGTCCCTGCATGAGCAAATTGGCAAATTGCTTTTCATTCTACAGATAGCTCAAGAAAAATAGCTGGAAAATAAATAGAGGAGATAAGACTTGTAGGGAAAGTTACACAGAGTCCTGCTTCACAATGCGCTGTGCTGGTTAAGCTCTTTATTGAAAGCCTGTTCCAAAAAAGGCCAGTTCTGCACCGCATAGTGATTAGCCATATTTTAAGCCAGAAACTTAAAAATGGTGTCAGAGCATTAATATTTTCACTGAGTAACCTCAGAGCAGATGAAATTTGCGTCATGTGGCCTCTGTAGATCCCTCTTGATGCTGTAATCACCTTGGAGAGGTAGAATTTATATGCAAAGATAAAGGAAGAGCTGATGGTGTTCCTAGAACTATCCAATGGGATCAGAAGGTGGCAACTGTTCTTCCTATTTGTGCTTGGTTTTTTTTCTGGGGGAAAATGAACCTGTGGCAGAGGCATCTGCCTGCTCTGACAAATGCTAGACTAGGTCAGCTATTCCCAGCAAGGACACATTCTGCCATCAGCTCAATGCATGAGGCATCACTCCTGTGTATTCCTGTTAAACCCTGGGAGGAGGACACCCATCCTGCAATATTTTTCTTTTAATTTTCTTGGCAAAATCAAAAAAAAAAAAAAAAAAAAAAAGGAAGGAAACAAATTCACAGCCCCGATTTTCCACACTTGTTTACTTGTGCTTTCATTGGGGATGGTTGAAAAGAGTCCCGCAGGTGGTCACTTCCCTTGAGACCCTGCACTGAATACGACAGGGATTCAGAGTTTGGATTTGTTTTACATGTAACTGACTTGCTCAGTGAAAGGACTGAGCTGTTATATTTGTGCTGACGTATCCTTTCCTCCGTGACAGACTGAATGTGGCTTGCAGTCTGGCAAGTCAACATTGTCCCCACCAGATCTATGTCAGATCTATGTATTTGACAGGAGTTCCATTCTTAGAAGATCTGGGCCATGAATTTGAAAAATTGGCATGGACAAGGATGCCAGGCACCTAATGAATGACTCTGGTGGTAGGAAGAGTTGACCCATTTCAGCCTGGTGAAGCCACTGGGGAGCCAACTGGCAACAAGTGCAGGTTTGATGTTCCTGGAGTGGGCAGCTGAGCAATAGTGGCCAATACACAGTCAGAAATTCAGAAGGTGGAAAATTTTGTGCATATACATGTTTTTTTTTCAGTATGTATCTTTAATGTTATTCTGAAGAAAGGGCAAGACAGAAAAAACAAAGCCTCCCCATAGAAAAAGCAAAAGATTAACTTTAGGGTGAGCCAGTGAATATTTCAAAGGAGCCAAGGGCAAGAGCGAGGATAGCTGCTAATGAAGTTATTTGGTCTCATTTGGGCTACACACGGGTAATTCTCTTACCCATCTTGGAAATCGCCCATGGTCTTTGCAGAGCCAATGCTCTTGTTCTGAATCAGCTGCTGCTGAGAACTCTATTGCCTGGAGGAGGCTGTGTGAAGCATAAGGAAAACGATCTCCAAATGTGGGACCCTAAAATTAAGAGTGCAAATACTTCATTTTGCTTCCTTTTCGTTGGAGAAGGTGTGGTAAGTTACCCTGAGTCCATCCTACACTCTGTAGGAGTGGTTGGGTGGTTGAGAATGCTGAGCTGACCTTTCCAACAACCCGATAAACTCACGGATGTAAAATGGTTGCTTTTATTTCTAGGTGGCAAGGAGCTGTTATTGACTGGAATGGCACAGAACCAATCTTGTGACTGACCCGACCTGCACTTTATTTGCAAGAAAAAAAAAAAGGAAATGACAGAATTAGCACATTCCTATTCCCACCAATACAGGAAATAGGGCAGGAGTTCTGTGCCACTTATGGTGAGGAAGAATGACATGGCTGTGTGCAGGCTGGAAGAGCGTCACCTTGTTCGCCTCATGCTTTGGATATCTTGCTTATAATGCAAACAACACTTAGATAAATTCTTTGTTGATGCCTTTAATGTACAGTTTCAATGTGTAGACTGAGAGTCTCCAATGTCCAGTGACGGTTACGGGTAAAGCAGTGGAGTTGTCTATGTCCCCTCGAGGTCCCTTTCTGGATCAACTCTGTATCCTGCAATTGTTCCCAAAAATCTGATGAAAGGAGCCGAGCTGCTATTTCTGTCCCTGTTTTGCCTTCCTGTACTGCCTCGTTCTTCACCTGCAACACTCCAGTGCCAGGATGAAACATCATCCAAGAAATAAATATTCACTTCATTGCCATATATTACTAAGTCCAAACCTAAGGCTGAACCTACTGGTAACCATATGGGCTACGGTTTACTTACTAGGCTTTATTTACACCAAAGTGGCCAGTAAGTTCTGTGATTTGCTGCTTGGAAACAGAAGTGATGTTAGATTGGAAATGTGAAGGGCACTTGTCTGTGATATTTACTGTTATTCATGATTAAATAAAGTGCGTGGGAGAAAATGGTGTACAGTGGAGATGTACCACGAGGTACCAGAACAGCAGTTTGTATTCTGAAATGAACTTTTTAAGTGACATATTTTGGCAAAAATTTACCAAAATTGGAACGAGTTGTACTGTACTGAAGATTGGAAAAAAAGGCTTTGGAAAATATTAATTGCTAATGGACAAGTTGCAGAGAAACAGTGTTTCTAGAATTATTTTTATCTTTTGGGAGTGCAATTATCATGGGAGTTTCATAACAGACTTTTAATTTTATCACAGCACTCTCTTACTGCTCAGTATGCAAACCTCTCTGAGCCCAAATGAACCACTTGCTGTTTTCAAAATCAATTTCCATCAGAAATTCAGTGTTCTACTCCGTGTAGCTGGCAGATACCAAGCTGCCTCTGCAGATACAAATCTCAGGGCACGTGAGCTAGATTTGGAAACCAACCTGTGCATGCTACCAGAAAAAATGAGATAGTTTGTGAGTAAGCACCAGGCCCTGCTTTGCTTCCTGCACTCATCAAACTGTCTACACGTGGTAAAATATCTCGGCGCTGCCGTCGTTTTCATTTTATGTGATGCTGTATAATGTAATTTGTTTGTTTTAGGTCAGATAGGCAAACTTCTTTCTGTGAACTTGGTGAGATGAATATCTCCCTTTCAGCCTTGGCATCATGGAGAGCATCAGATCTGAGCCCATTCCCAACTCCCCGTGGGCGCACTATGTGACCTTTGCCAGCTCCCTACATTTTACTGTACGTAGGGGGATGTTTGCACAGCCAGCTGCAGGTGGACTCAAGGCTGCCTTTATGATGCATACCTCACCTGACCTTTAAGATCTCCATTTTCTGGATCCCAAACATTCAAAGATCCCAGTTTGGCACGGCTTGGACCTTGGAGTCAGCCAGGCCACCAGCTTGAATTAAACACCTTTTTGTCTTGAATTTTCCTATCAACTACAGTCCCCCTGTGCTCAATGGAGCAAACAGTCCAAGAGGGCAGCAAGATCATAAAATAAGATTTCTCAGAATGCATTTGGACAGAAAATAGGGAAGAGATGAAAAACGATGGAAGATTTTTGGAACTAGGTGTACCAAAAATCCTCCTTTCTGGAAGTGTTCCTCTGGGAAGGAAGGGAGCTGCTGTGTTACTGCCCTGATTTCATCTGACTGGAATATGGATGTCTCCAACGCAGATATGTGATGATGAGGAGCTCTTGCTCTGGGCTCCCTTCAGAGTAGGGTGTGATTTATCTTTTCTTATGGACAAGAAGAAATGTGCTCCTGACTGGAGGATTATAAACTGAGTATAGATGGAGCCCAAGGGGATTGCCTCAGATGAACTCCATCCCTCAAGATGTAATAATTTTTCAGGTTTTAAGAAAGAGTTGAAGATTAATGAGTAAGGCTTGGAAACTGATAATGTTTTATGGTTTATCTTGAAAGATTAATGAAGGTGGGAGGGAGCCCTGTACTCTGATCCTCTTTTTAAAACAGCCTGCAAAGCCTTTAAGGCTCCATTCTTACTGATTACAAATAATAGTTCAATTGAACCTTAAATTTTATTATAACAGAATCCCATTGAGCCAGGTCTTCCTTACTCATTATCTGTAATTACTTCTACACACATTTTTCTGTAAAGTCCATTGTCTGCCATCTGTTTAAAATTGAACTAACTCAAGATTCACCTGTGCCAAGAAGTACAACACTTGGACCACATTACTGAAGCATTGCCTCTGCAGGGCAATCCCACCAAGCTGGAGCACTGCATCGCTGAGCTGCTGCCACCAGCTTTGCTCTTGAGGTTTCCTGTGGCTTCCTTCAATAAAGAGGCAATGAAAATACTCACTTAGATCTACCTCTTCAGCAGAAAAGCAACCAACCGAACCTCTGTCTATTTCTGCATCGAGAAAAAGCTCACATATTTTAATCTGATGATAAAAGACATGAAGCAATTTGCCTTCAGGCATCACGTATCTTTTGGAATCGAACGATCAGACAAACCGATACAAAACGTTATGCAGCGATGCAGAAACCTTTGCACAGACCTGTGCAGAAGCATATCCTGTTGTAGGAGCCTACATCTAGCTTGTTGATTATGTTTTCCTTCTCATTGTTTCCCGATGTCATTTTCACTGCCCGATGAACGTGACTTCCTGAGGTGAACAAAGCAACTGTTTGCGAATAGCGCAGTACAAGACACTGGCACTGGGCCTCTATGTATATCTTAAAATCATCCTCTTCCCTTCTGTGCTATGAAAAACACACCCTCTCACCCTCTGCTGAGACATGACGCCTTAGCTTACAACAGACATCACCTATTGTAAATCTGAGCAGAAGTGCTATTTTGGTAAAGTGTCAGGAATATTGCCCTTGTGCAAAATGTACAGTTAGCTTTGTTTTGTACAGAATGCTGCCTACAAATAAAGCCTTTAAAGAAAAGAAAGTAGCATCATCTCATATTTTCTCTTCACTTTTTTTTTTTTTTTTTTTTAATAATTAATTTGCCAAGGGAAATTAATCTGAGAGAATAGATTGTAACAGCTTCATGGGCCTCCTCCTGTCAGTGGAATAATAACAAGAAGTTGAGCTTCCCTCTCCTCTGAGCAGAACCACAGTGCAGTTGGGGATGCAGGGCAGGGGGTGTCATCCTGAGCCTGGCAGTTTCACATCTGAGCAGCTATGGGTGTTGAAACCAACCAGTCTGGGGCTGGTTGGAAATGTGAGTTACAACTGTCTGCCTGCATCAGTGCACGTCCACTGTGTCCTATTTGAACCTACCCAGTGCTGTGAGTGTAAACTGCAAGGCTCTCATCACCCCTCTTAGCTTAGTGTGAGATCATAGGATCATAGAATCACTGCAAAAGACCTCTAAGGTCCTCTAAGGTCACCCAATCCCACCCTACCCCTGCCATGCCCACTGACCATGTCCCACATCTCCATAAACACCTCCAGGAATGGTGACCCCACTGCCTCCCTGGGCAGCCTGTTCCACTGCCTCACCACTCTTGGGGAGAAGAAATTGTTCCTAATATCCAACCTGAGCTTCCCCTGAAGGAACTTGAGGCCATCACCTCTCATCCTGCAAATGAATTGCATCATCCTGATCAAAACCTGGGGAATCATTGGCAATCAAGTGTTTTTAAGGAATTTTGTGCAAGGTGGACATGTACACATGAAGTTTCTTGTCCATCTGAAGGCCACCGTGCGTAGACCTCACACTGGAGTTGATGAAGCTGCTGGAGTTGTTTTTGTGCGTATCTGTCCCTATTGTATTGTCAAATCTAGGAGCAGTCTGAGATCTGATGACAGACCCGTGAGCAAATCTGTTCAGCCACTGTGTGGTTTGTTCCCAGGGAGTTCAAAGATGAAAGCTTGCGCCTGTTTCCAGTTCTTGACTTTTTGGAGGCAGATTGCTGTTTTGTTTCTGTGGTTTATGCGTAGAACGGGGTAATTTGGAACGACAGGAAAAGGTCACTTTAAAAATCAGAGGAAAGTCGAAGAGCTTGGGAAAATGACACGTGTGTAAGCCAAGTTTTAACAGAAGTGGTAAGTGGGTTGGGGCTCCAAAGATTCCATTGCTGAACCTGAGGTACTTCAAAGAAGCTCAGTTTTCTGTTGGTATCTGGGAGCTCCCTTGAAATACAAAGGTCCCAGGTCACAGTTTTTAAAACCTTTCCTTAGAATGCCGCTGCCAATTTTGTAAAGGAGTGTAATATTCCTTCAGAGTGCCTCCATGATTCGAGATACGACCACACAAAATGCAGACACGTGTTTTGCTGGGGTATCTGTCAGTCCTGCCTCAGGGTGCGTTCACTATTGAGGACCCTGCCTTGAATTGTGTCACATTCACCAAATTCAGTATTGCAGGAGGTGCTGAAAACCAAATTAGAACCAAAGCCCGTGCTTTAATCAATCATTCATCCGTTGAGGACATAGCTGTAGAAACCTAAATCTTTAAAATCAAACACCATCGGACAGATCGATGCTGTATCAGGTTGGATGTTAGGAACAATTTCTTCTCCAAAAGAGCAGAATGGGCTGCACAGAGAGGTGGTGGTCACCATCCCAAGACGTGTTCCAGAAACATTTAGATGTACTGAGGGACGTGGTTTAGTGGGGAAATATTGGTGGTAGGTGGATGGTTGGACTGGATGATCTTGGAGGTCTTTTCCAACTTTGGTGATTCTATGGTTTGATGTTTTTCTCTTAACAAGTAAGCTCATAAAAGAAATAGAGTTTTACTTGCAGAAAGAAGATGATTGCTCCTGATGGCTGCTTTTCATCTGCACAACCAGTCCTCTGCATAACCTAAGGAAACTGCATCCCATTAAGAACACTCTGGATATACTAGTACTCTTCTTTTATTTGTTTTCATTGGCTAAAAGATAATAAGCTCGACAGCAGTTCTGAAATAAGGAATCAGTTTCTCCTTAGCTGCTTTGTTTATAAAACTAGAGAAGGAAAAAGGGCATTTTCAATCAGATACTTTATTTGTTATTTCAACCAGGGTGGGAAGGGGTTGTTGTTAAGTTAGAAAGCCACATAGCTCTGTGATGTCTCTCATTAACAATAGTTTTCGTCTAAATTGACACAGAAGCAAGCTTAGATTTTAGAAAGAAAAACCCTTTCAAAAAAGCAAAGGGATTTTCCAATAAGATTTATCAGCAATTCCAAACCTTTCTCATTATTGTTGTTTTCCTCTTCTTGGAGGAATTATGTTAAACTGAAGCAGTTGACTCTTCATAGCAGTTGTGCTTAAAGGCACAATTGGGTTCACACAGACTGAGATGTCTTATAGCATCCAGCAGAACGAAAGTGAAGGACCCCAGCAGATACATGGACAAAGGGGACACTTAAATAAATTACCATAAGAAGCAATAGTCCTTAAGGCTGTCTTTTCCTCAACAGACGCTCTGGAGATGTTCAAGATCTGCCTGGATGCCGACCTGTGCGACCTGCTGTAGGGAACCTGCTTTGGCAGGGGGTTGGACTCGATGATCTCTGGAGGTCCCTTCCAACCCCTACAGTTCTGTGATTCTGTGACTCTGTGACACGTTGCTACTCCAAACGGACAGAAGATTTTGGAATATGCATGAGCTTGAACACTTTTCTCTTACCAAGGAGCCACGTACCAAATTGTCTTTGAAAAAAAAACAGAAGTGTTGGATGTTAGGAACAATTTATTCTCCAAAGACTGTTAAAGCACTGGCAGAGGCTGCCCAGGGAGTGTTGGGGTCACTGCCCCTAAAGGTATTCCGAAACAGTGGAGATGTGGTACTTGGGGACATGATGAGTGGGCATGGTGGGTTGGGGTGGGGTTGGATTGGATGATCTTAAAGGTCTTTTCCAACCTCAGTGATTCTGTGATTCTATGAATTATTCTTGGCAATATTCTCCTGCTGTGTCTCTGAGTCTCTCCGACCTGTGAATATTAGGCATGATGCATCTGGTGTGCTCAGGTGATCGTAGGGTGGATATAAAGTAGGGCCTTAGGATGACATTACAGACACTGGTGGGGCACAGGCATTACATGAGCATGAGTCATCTGACCTGTCTGAGGGGTCTATGTGGGACGAAGTTAATTGCCTTTTTCACTTCCCTGCCTGCTTCTGGTGGGCTCTCAGTGGATTAAACTGAGTGTATGCAGAGTACTATGAATAGTCCAGGTGAATCCCAGTGTGGCAATGACAAAGAAAAGAAGTAGAATGTGTTTACAGGCCCCACAGAATTGGTAAAATGAGGGAATAAAATGGATTGTTTAGAGATGCCTCCTGGCTGCTGTGTGCTAGGGAAGCATCCATTCAGGAAAGAAATCTCAGGGCTTAGCAGCCAAAATTTGCCAGTGCTTGGAGAAGGAGCTGCTGATGAAAACATGGGAGGTGTATCAAAGTTGAGACCTGGAAGGTGTCCTGGACATGAGGTTTTGTGTGCAGAGATTTTCTTTGTATAGGAGAACTAGGATGGTGTCACAATCCTGATAAAACACCCAAAGTATCTGTGCCTCGTGTGGGTGTTCTGCTTGTTTTCTTATCACTTTCTTATCATTTGGCAAGGACTTCCAAATTACTGTAAGAGGTATTCTGGGCATTTGTAAGAATACTCCACGCTCTGGAATTCAGCAAATATTTATTCATGGAGAAAACACCGGCAAAGAATGTGTAACAAAAAAGAAAAAGCAAAACACCAAATGCCTATTTAGCTCCTCTGTGGAAAACTCACAGAGAATATGAGTTTGAAAACTACGTTCTGCAAAGATACCTTTCACTGAGATGTACTTGGTTTGGTAAGTGCTGTGGATGTGAGCCAAGGTCTCCAGACCTTGAACTGAGGATCCTCATTTGTCATTTTGAGATAGTGTGACAAATGAGCAATGCTTTGTGCTGGTGCTGCATGGCGTGTGAAGAAAGGAGGTCTTTTACGAGCACTTCAATACAGAGCAGTGTTATTACAACTGACATCCTTCTCAGGGCTCAATTCCTATCACGCACAATATCCTTCCTGAGCCACTCTTGGTCGGGTCACTTCTGTAAGAAACAATCCACTCTCATTGAAGTAATGGTTCAGCTTTGCAAATGGGACAAACACAAATTCAAGTGTGTGCTACAATCTGATCTGCTTTTACTGATGTCCTTTTTCAGGACCTTTCAGTGTCAGTAACAGGTGAGTATATAAACACAGAGAGAACCTGAAAATCAAGCTGCTTTTATTATGGTAAGAGGTGTAGCTATGGGTACCCATATGTTTACTCATCTGAGAGCAGTCCTATGGCTGCATACCATGCACTTTGACAAATATACATGTGCATGAATAGCAGAACATACAGAAAAATAAATTGGAATGATTATTTTTCATGTTGGACGCCATTTATTGGGTTACATAGGGCAGTTTTAAGGCACAAACTTTACTTTTATCAAAACCAAGTGAAAACTACAAGAGTGAGACTAAACAGCTATCACACCATGGTAGGAGCTGCTAGTCTCCTCTAATTGAACCAACCCTGATGAAAATTCTCCTGGTGCTCCATAGATACCCATTGCCCATCGCCTTTCTCCTTTGAATTTCCTCACCTGCTAAGAGCCATGGAAGGTGCTCTGCAACTTATGATATAAACACGGCAAACATTTTTGCTCCCTTTACTTGTTTTGTCCAATTTACATGACGTATGTCTGATGTGTAGCAGTGAATTAGAAGACCTCTTTTATTTTGTGGACTTGGATGGAAAAATGCCAGTATGGTTTGAGAAGACAGGGTGATTGATGAGGTTACCGGGGCAAAGAGGACAGGTGACTTTTCGTAGAATCACAGAACCACAGAATGGCCTGGGTTGCAAAGGAGCACGATGCTCATCCAGCTCCAACCCCTGCTGTGTGCAGGTCACCAACCAGCAGCCCAGGCTGCCCAGAGCCACATCCAGCCTGGC